CCAGGGCAACGGCGACCAATTGGATCAAGGTGTTCATAAACATGTACGAGTTTAACGCGTCGTTAGCCATCGGGTGCTTTTGTACGAAACCCTTCTACCAGGACGTAGTGTTCGGACCGTTCAATCGCGAGCCCTGGCAAGTGTTCAGTTACCTCCCGGTGCTCACAATCGGCATAGCGTCGGGAATGTTGTTTTTCTTGCAATTTTTCTACGCCTTTTACCACAACTGGCACAACGTGTGGGCAGAGGTGACCCGTTTCGGGGACCGCGACTTTTACGGCGACTTCTGGAACGGACGCGAGACTCGGGATTATAACGTGAAGTGGAATTTCATTGTCCAGGACTGGCTCTACTACTATGTCTACCTACCGGTGCGTCGACGCACCAGTAACCGCGATCTGGCCTCCGATGTGGTCAACTATATGAGCCATATTACACACTCCATCATCTACTCGGTGCTCAGCAAACACCGTATGTATATCTATATGCTTATACTGTGCCCGTCGGTGGCTGTGCTCCGGTGGTGGCGCACCCCTCGCGAGGCGACCCATACCGATAAGTACGGTAAGCCCAAGACGTTGGCCACGAAACAGCGCCGCGGCCGCCGATCCGGCGATCTGTTGGACGACATTTGGGCCGAAGTGGTGGACGTGTGGGAGAGCTGTAGCCGGTGTTACTTTACCGGCGTTTTTGGCATTATGTTTGTCTATGTTATGTCTATCGGCTATCAGCAACAGTTGTAATGAGGGTTAAAACATCAAAACCCGATTGTGGTTGATTAAAATGCTTGTGTTTTTCTGGTATATTTTCGTATTGTATTTAAATAAAACTTGATGAAAATTGTCATAAATAAATGTTAAATAAAAATTGATCATAATGCAATCAATTACAAACGCAACAAAAACAAAGTTTTTATTTTATTTTAAAACATGTACAAAAATTGGGGAAGGGTGGAAAAATTTAGAAGGGGGAGGGTGGAGAGGCTTTGGGGGTACTAGGGAGGGAAAACAAACCAAAACAATAAATGTTAGATACATATAACAAATAGCAACATAATTGATTTAATCTAAAGCGAAACACCATCTATAGTAATAGGAATCGCAAATAAATCACAACGAATGCCAGCACTGGTCCCAACACTGGTATAACGGACACAATAAGTGCCACGATATCTAACAGTGCGCTCAATATACCCCTCTTGTGTCTATCGGCCGGACCGGCGGCGGTGTCTCTCACCGATCGAACCCATTCGTTGACTCTGTCCGGCAAAGAGGTCTCTCGTTTGGTCTCCCAATCCATAGCCATAGCCACCGACGCGATCGTCACCAATAATAAGGCCAATAGTGTTAGCTTTGAATACATATTTACAATTTTAAATTAAAATTAATTAACTTTTGATTAATTGTGTTTTGAGAGCGTTATGTAGACAATGGTGTGATTGAGAAATCCATAGCCATAGCCACCGACGCGATCGTCACCAATAATAAGGCCAATAGTGTTAGCTTTGAATACATATTTACAATTTTAAATTAAAATTAATTAACTTTTGATTAATTATATTTTGAGAGCGTTATGTAGACAATGGTGTGATTGAGATAAATGTGTGCCGTATTTATATAATTATTGTTAATTATAATCTGTGGGATCATAAATGGTGTGATTTTGAATTGAAATATGTTTAAAGCATGTAGGTGGGTGACATTTTGATAGATTGTCACTCATTACTTTAACCACACTTTACATTTGCCAAACAGTACATTAAAATAGTCTCATGTTGTAAAAACTGCATGTTAGTTTATTCATTTTATGTTGCATTTTTTCATTGCTTTTAATTAATTCATTTTTTTAGAAATATATTTTTTAATTGGTTATATTGAATAAGTGAGATGGGAATAATACAAAGTTCTATAATGTTCTACTATATGATTAATATATACCTAGTTTATCAACTGTAATAAGTTGTTGTAAATCTAAATAAAGTTAAATCAATTAAGTTGTATAAACATAATTTTAAAAATGACTTAACAAAAATTCTGAAACATTTTATATTAAATTATAATCATTTCTTAAAAATATAATATTATTATTAATTCTTATAAATATAAAAAAATTAAAAATCACAAGATATAAAATATAATGCATTTCCATTGAGATTTTTATTATACAATTCTCAATATGGTATTTTTAGTCAACGACCTCTCAATTCAATTACAGATTAAAATCTAAATTACAAAAAAATTATATCAATTTCCTCTCAATTTAAACTTTTCTCATTAATTGTGTTGTGAAACACACTAAACGGCAATACATTACAAAATTGAGTTTCCTTTTGTCTATAGCATAACAATTGATATTAATATACACTTTCTTAATATTAGTTATTTTTTATCATAATGCAATGTAATATTCATTGATAGAAATACATAAATCACAAAAATCATTATCATTCAAATACAATGAACGTGTTTCGGCACATCGAGGGCAATTTTAATACAACCCAATCGCACCAATGGATGACCGATCACTGGCACATCTCTGTCTACCTGTCCATCGCATACCTGTGTGTGATATATGGCCTCAAACTTCAAATGCAAAACCGAAAACCTCTCGATATAAACGGATATCTGTTTGCGTGGAATGCATTCCTAACCATATTCTCAACAATAGGTACTCTCAGGTAATCATTAATAACCACAAAAAAACAAAATAATTTACAAACAAAAACAACAATTAAATTAAATATCATTCCCTCAGAGCCGTCGACGAGATGTCACACGTGTTGGGAAACCACGGCTTGAAGTATAGTATATGCAGTAAAGAGTATCACACCTACGGATCGGGTCTCTGGGGGTTTCTGTTCTCGTTTTCAAAGAGTTTTGAATTGTTTGACACCGTATTTCTGGTGCTGCGAAAACGGCCGGTCATTTTGTTGCACTGGTACCATCACGTGACCGTGCTCATGTTTTGCTGGTGGTCGTACTCGCTCAATTCAAGCACCGGCCGGTGGTTTACTTTTGTCAACTATACCGTACACATGTTTATGTACGCCTATTACACCCTACAGTCGGTGGGCGTTAAAGTGCCCTCCGTTTTAGCCAAAGCCATAACAATGGGCCAAATATTTCAAATGATTTTTGGTTTATTCATTAACTTAGCGTCGATTGTATTGAAATTGTTTGACAGCGAGTGCGGCGTCGACTATAAATACATTGCCATTTCTCTAGCGATGTACGGCTCGTATTATTATTTATTTTATCAGTTTTTCAATAATAGGTATAATAAGACAAAAGCTATGAAACTCAAGAAAAAAGCATAAATATGAATGTATGTTGACTGTAATTATAATATGAATACTTTTAAGAATAAAATTAAATTGTCATTGAATATTGATTTAGTATTTAAGGTAATAATACAAATTGTGGTATAATCATAATTAATTACCGTTTTAATTATCAATGTGAACCCTATTTAAAACTATTATATATAAATTATAATAAAATTAATGATATACATTATATTACTGTATTTACTATGATTATAATACGGTTCAATAATTGTTTTAACTATTGCTATAAGTTTAATATTTATTTTAAAATCAAATATGCGATCACCTTTTCACATCATACCTTTTTTGTATAAGTATACTGTGCGCTTTGTAAAAATAAAATTACAGTTTTATTTATATTTTATTAAATATCATGATACTATTTGTGGTTATCATAATTTATTATTTATAAAGAATAATAGTGTTTAAAATGCAAAATATTTGTTTAGGTGATACACTAAAAGCAATACCTGTTTGAATATACAGGTATAAAGTGTTTGGTTATAAATGTTAACAAAGGTATTAAAACTGTAACTTAAGTAAAGTGTTTTTATCAAGTGCAGTATTTCAGTGTGATAATAATGTGCAAAATGATCAAGTGTTTGAAACAAAAGGTATAAAGTGTTTGGTTATAAATGTTAACAAAGGTATTAAAACTGTAACTTAAGTAAAGTGTTTTTATCAAGTGCAGTATTTCAGTGTGATAATAATGTGCAAAATGATCAAGTGTTTGAAACAAATGATTACAATGCTAAGCAATTTGATAGTAATAATGTACTTAAATATTTAGTAAACTTAATATACATTTTTATGAGGAATTTCATGTTAAAAACACATTGCAAGACATGGTTTGCAGCACTTTGTTGTTCACATTATTAGGTTTTATATATTATTTAATTGCATAAATCATATTATTTCTATAATCATTATTTTAATTACTAAACTATAAATAAACAATAACATTAATAATAAATAGTTGTATATTGATTTATTGAATTTAATTATAATTATTTTAAATTGTGACTATTTTTAAAATGTTTAAAAATAATATGATGTAAAAACATAATTGGTGTCAAATATTTTAATGTCAAAACTGATTATTAAGTGCAGGTGTGAAACAAATTTACTAATATTTTATCAACAATTTAAAACAATTATTGTTACATTTAAATATAATGTACTGTAATATCGGTAAATAAGGGAATTAAAAAATTTTGTGCTTGATCGTTTTTATCTGGATTGCTAATACCACACCTCCCGAACCTCCTTTACAATACTACCTAGGTTATTTGATCTTTTATATAGAGGTTTGTGTTAATTATATTAATAATTATATCTAATTAATTATATATTTTAATGTGTTTTAAAGCACTTTATGTGCCATTTCTTTGTGCGAAGATATACTGTATATTAAATTAAAAAATATAACTAATATACTTAATAAAACTTAAATGCAGAATGAATATACTTGGTCAAGTGGAGCGCAGTTTTAACACGATAGAATGGCATTTATTGTATGTTAATTATTGGCACATCTCTATCTACCTGTCCATTGCATACGTGTGTCTGATATATGGCCTCAAACTTTGGATGCAAAACAGAAAGCCCCTCGAAATAAGCGGATATCTGTTTATATGGAATGCATTCCTAACCCTATTCTCAATTGTGGGTACTTTCAGGTAATCAGCAATAAATATAAAAAACAATTTAATTAAAATTAATTAAAACCCTAACATATAAGTTTTATGTTTATAAGTTTATAACAATTTTAACATATCTTAGATTATTAGATGAAATGCAATACCGATTGGTAAACCATGGCTTTGGCTTCAGTATATGCAGCCAAGAATATCACACCCAGGGATCGGGTCTCTGGATATTTTTGTTCATATTCTCAAAGAGTTTTGAATTGTTNACATATCTTAGATTATTAGATGAAATGCAATACCGATTGGTAAACCATGGCTTTGGCTTCAGTATATGCAGCCAAGAATATCACACCCAGGGATCGGGTCTCTGGATATTTTTGTTCATATTCTCAAAGAGTTTTGAATTGTTGGACACTGTGTTTCTGGTGCTGCGGAAACGGCCGGTAATATTTTTGCACTGGTACCATCACGTGACCGTGCTCATGTTTTGCTGGTGGTCCTACGCTCTCAATGCCAGCACTGGCCGGTGGTATGCGTTTGTCAACTATATTATCCACTCAATTATGTACGCCTATTACGCCCTGCAGTCGGTGCAGGTGAAGGTGCCCTCAGCACTGACCAAAACCATAACAATCGGCCAAATATTACAAATGTTTTTCGGTTTATTCATTACTTTAATGTCATTTGCATTAAAATTTTATGGCAACGACTGTGGCGTTAACTATGATTACGTCGGCGTTTCCATCGCTCTCTACGGCTCGTATTTCTATCTGTTTTATCAGTTTTTTAATAATAGATATCAGAAGACAAAGAGCGCCAAAATTAATTAAATGTTATTTTTAAAAAATTATTAGTCTTTAGTTATGATTATAATAAATTATTAATAATAATGTTACAAATAATTAAATGTTGCAATATATATTAGTATACTTTTATACAAAAACCAAATCACATAATGTTAGTTTACCGTCAGCTATATTATAATTTTCCATGCTCAATTATTGATAACTTCGTACAATTAGTACTTTAAAATAAATTAATATTAATTATAATATTTAAAAGATACTGTCGTTTAAATTGTGTTTTACTCAATAAATCTATGTAAAAGTTTGTGTAAAAGTTTGTGTAACTGTTTGTGTAACATTTTATTCTTTACATATCGTAGTGTTTATTGTATGAAATGAAACTTAATATAGTAATAGATGTGCACTTTTAAGGATATAATTTTGGGAAAAATTTAATTTTTACAAATATTTTTAAATAAATTTCAGTGTTAATTGATTGATAAGATTTACATAATTTACAAAACTGTCACTAAAATAATTACATGTCCTTGATTTGTTATGCAATGTATTTACTCGAGGGTTATGTCAACTATAAATAAATTACACGTTTGTGGGAAATAATAATTAATTATTTATTTACAAAATGAGAAAATATTCTATTAAAAAGAATTAAAATGCCAATAATCTTGGTGCACATGGATTACAATAAATGGCTATTTAATTATTAAAACAATTAATTATTACAAAATTAACATCCAACTAGTAGAGTTATTTATTGTAATTCTAAATTCGATATTAGTGTCTTAAACAATATCCATAAGATTAACATTGATCTACAGGTTAGTATATTCTTTATATAAATATGATAAATTGTTGTTTGGTGATGAATGAATTATTTTCTGTGTAAAAATAATAGACACATTTTACAAAATTGAATGCTATGTTAACATTGAGATTTGACTGTAAAATTTCCAAGATTAGTCAATAATTTTAAACGTAAATAATTTAATTTATTACAAATAAATTATAAGGATAAATGTGATAATAATCTTATACTTATTTATTCTTTTAAATAAACAAATTTTATTTCCATTTATTTATTTCATACTTTAGTTTAAATTAAAATTATTACTTTTTGGCATACAATACAAAGTAACCAAAATTTTTAAAATCTAAATTAATTGGGGTAAGTTTTTGCATTTTCTTTTATTCATCATAATCAATTAAATTTTACACGTCTTTAATAACCAATAATGTAATTCATATTTATTATAATTTTAAGGCTAAATTTAAGTAAGTAACTAATCCTGACTTTTATTTTAAGTCAATCAGAATATGAATGTAATCAACGATTTAGAAATCAATTTCAATACAACCGAATGCCAGAAATGGTTTGTCCAAAACTGGCACATCTCGGTCTACCTGTCCATCGCATACGTGTGTGTCATATATGTACTAAAACTCTGGATGCGAAACAAAAACGCTTTTAAATTAAACGTCTATCTGTTTGTATGGAATACCTTATTAGCCGTATTCTCAACCGTAGGAACTTTCAGGTATATTTCATAAATATTATTTCTAAAAAACAAAACATATAATCATTTATTTTCGACACATTTCATAGAGTTTTAAACGAAATGTTATACCGATTGGTAAATCATGGCTTTGATTATAGTATATGCAGTCAAGAATATCACACCCAGGGATCGGGTCTCTGGATATTTTTGTTCATATTCTCGAAGAGTTTTGAACTGTTGGACACTATATTCCTGGTGTTGCGAAAAAAGCCCGTAATGTTGCTGCACTGGTACCATCACGTGACCGTGCTCATATTTTGCTGGTGGTCTTACTCTCTCTACGCCGGCACCGGGTTTTGGTATGCGTTTGTCAACTATACCGTACACTCATTTATGTACACCTATTACGCCCTGCAGTCGATGAATGTGAGAGTGCCCTCCGCTCTCTCCAAAGCCATAACAATCGGCCAAATATTTCAAATGTTTTTCGGTTTATTCATTACTTTAATGTCATTTGTATTGAAATTTTATGGCAACGGCTGTGGCGTTAGCTATGATTACGTCGGCGTTTCCATCGCTCTCTACGGCTCGTATTTCTATCTGTTTTATCAGTTTTTTAAGAATAGGTATAATAAAAAAATTAATTAAATTATATTCTAGTTAAAAATTATAATTCCAAATAATATATTGATAATTACTTTATATACAGAATATATGTTTAATAGTATTATATTGTATGCCGCATACCTGTACATACAATTACCAATTAACTACCTTAATTATACCTAGATTATGCATTACGTGTAAAAACCACATGAATCTATAAATGTATAAAATAAAGAATTGATTTTATTATATTTGTTTAAACGTTTAACTGTGGCGTTAGCTTTGAACACATCGGCGTTTCCATCGCTCTCTACGGCTCGTATTTCTATCTGTTTTATCAGTTTTTTAAGAATAGGTACAATAAAAAGTTAATTAAATTAAATTAATTGTTACTTAAAAACTATAATTTCAATTACTAATTGCTTGAACTTTATATATAATTATATAACAATTTTATAAGATATACTTTGCTTTAAAAATTTACAATACTAATACATCTACAAATAATTGTTAACATATAATTAAAACAATATTTTAATTAATAAATTTAATTATTGCAGCATAATAAGCTTAAATGCAATACATTATATTTATAATGAAACTGTATTACAAACACATCTGTTATATCAATAAAAGCATTGAAAATGCAAATAATTTTCGGCAAATTCAATAATTTTCTTATGAAAACATTTGTCATTGTTTTAGACGTTTGTAAAATGTTTGCATAAAAACTCGTAATAATTAATTTAAAGTAATCACGATTCATTAATAATAAAACACTAAAACATTATATTAATACAAATAGAATTTTAGTGAAATAGGATTGCACCGATGATTTGATAGAGGTAATTTTACTTTAGTTTAGTGTTGTATATTATACACTTAACTGTATGTAATTAACTGTATGTACTTAACTGTAAAGTATACAGTATATCATGTTTATCATGTGGTCATATTGTAGATATTTTATTAAACAAAATGGACCGATTATACCGGTATGAGACAAATTTCAATCCATACGTATGGCACCAATGGATGGTTAATCACTGGCACATCTCTGTCTACCTGTCTATCGCATACTTGTGTCTTATATATGCCATCAAACTCCTGATGCAAAACCAAAATGCTTTCAAATTAAACGGCTATCTGTTTGCGTGGAACACATTATTAACCTTATTCTCAATTATTGGTAGTTTCAGGTAATCATAAAATTAAAACAATTATTAAAATTATAAATCACTTTCACGTCAACCAATCCATAGGGGACTCGAAGAGATTCAATACCGGTTGGAAAACCATGGCTTCTGGTATAGTATATGCAGCCAAGACTATCACACACCGACTATTGGTTTGTGGGGTTTCCTATTTATAATGTCAAAGAGTGTGGAACTGTTGGACACCCTATTTCTGGTGCTAAAAAAACGGCCGGTCATATTGTTGCACTGGTACCATCACGTGACCGTGCTCATGTTTTGCTGGTGGTCGTACTCGCTGAATGCCAGTACAGCCCGATGGTTTGCGTTTGTCAATTATACCGTACACTCATTTATGTACGCCTATTACACCCTGCAGTCGGTGCAGGTGAAGGTGCCCTCAGCTCTGACCAAAATCATAACAATCGGCCAAATATTTCAAATGTTTTTTGGTTTATTCATTACTTTAATGTCGTTTTGGTTAAAGTTTTATGGAAACGGATGTGGCGTTAGTTTTAAACACATTGCAGTTTCTATCGCTCTCTACGGCTCGTATTTTTATCTGTTTTATCGGTTTTTCAGCGAAAGATATTGTAAAACAAAATTAGTTTAATTAAATTAAATTTTTATTTGTAATGATTATAACTCTAATATAAATAATTAATTTATATTTATTATATGTAGAACATTTTAAAATCCACAATAATTGTTATTATCATTATCATCATTAAACAAGTTATCAGTTTTTAAAAATTATCCTACTTTTATTTTGATTTAAATTAAGCAAGTTAAATTTTAAATAATTTTTATAAACCTCCAATTAGGTAACTATGACAACAAACACAAGGTAAATACTATCAAGATAATTTTAAATACTTTAAGTGACAATAAAGTTTACAAAATTTGAGCATTTGTTGTGTAAAATAGTTTTATACTTTTAATTAAGGATATATTTTGTAAAAATTACTTAACAATTATTTTCTACTTCACTGCCAATTGATTGATGAGTTTTACATAGTTTTCATCGAAGTATACGTGAATTACCTATTATATTTGACAAATAATTGAATTTATAATCATGGTCAAAATTGGAATATTTTATAAAAGTTTAATACAATAAAACCTATTTATTAGACTTAAGCATAATTAAATTAACAAATTAAATAATTTTTACAGAAATTTTAAATTTATTTTAATTATTAATGATCAAAGTCGAGCTTAAAATTATATGTTTTTAAAGTTTTTAATTTTGTAAATAATATGAGACTAATATTTTTATGGAATTATAATTTTAAACGATTAAGCTCATAGTCCCTACATAATATCGAGTTTTAATTGTAAAATTGTCAAGATTTGTCAAAAAACTTAAAACGTAGATAATTTAATTTATTAAAAATAGATTATAGGGATAAATGTGATAATAATCTTATAATTATTTGTTTTTCCAAATAAATAAATTTTTATTTTATTTATTTATTTTATATAGATCTAGTATAAATTTAAATAATAACTTGTTTTTGCATGGTACAGTACAAAGCAATCAAAATTTTTAAAAATCTAAATTAATTTTGGTAAAGTAAAGTAATCTTTATATATTTTTTGCATTTTTAATCCATTATAATCAATTAAGTTTTACACGTCTTTAATAATTATTAATTAATAATGTAATTCTTATTTATTATAATTTTAAGGCTAAATTTAATTAAGTAACTAATCTTAACTTTTATTTTAAGTCAAACAGAATATGGATGTAATCAACGATTTAGAAATCAATTTCAACGAAACCGAATGGATTGCATGGTTTGTCCAAAACTGGCACATCTCTGCCTACCTGTCCATCGCATACGTGTGTCTTATATATGGCCTCAAACTTTGGATGAAAAATAAAAATGGCTTCAATTTAAATGGATATTTGTTTGTATGGAATACCTTATTAGCTGTATTCTCAACAATAGGGACTATCAGGTAATTAATAAAATATTATACAAGCAACAGAATATTTTATTAAAACAATATACAGTACATATTGTTATTTTTTGTATCAAGATGTGGTGAAGAGATTTATTATCGGTTAGTAAACTACGGCTTTGGGTATAGTATATGCCACAAAGATCTGCACACCCTCCGTGCGGGTCTGTGGGGACTACTGTTCACACTATCAAAAAGTATTGAACTGTTGGACACTGTGTTTCTGGTGTTGCGAAAAAAGCCCGTGATGTTTTTGCACTGGTACCATCACGTGACCGTGCTCATGTTCGCCTGGTGGACGTATTCTTTCATGGGCAGTACAGGCCGATGGTTTGCGTTTGTTAATTATACGGTCCACTCGTTTATGTACTCGTATTACGCGCTGCAAGCGGTGCGGGTGAGAGTGCCCTCCGTTTTGGCCAAAACAATAACAATCGTTCAAATATTGCAAATGTTTTTCGGTTTATTCATTACTTTAATGTCATTTGTATTTAAATTTTATGGCAAAGGCTGTGGCGTTAGCTTTGAACACATCGGTGTTTCACTAACCATATATGGCTCGTATTTTTATTTGTTTTATCAATTTTTTAACAAAAGGTATACTAAAACAAAATCTATTAAATTAAATTAAGAATAACACATATTGTAAACATTTTATTAATAATAATTAATATTCTTAATTTAAATTTACTTTAATATTTGTTATTAACTGAATTGTTGCAACTAATTAATTGCACACAAATTAATTAAACATATAATGTGTTATTTTTGTTGACTGTTTATTTTTAAAAAATCAAACATCTGATTTTATTAATTTTGAATTACATTTAAAACACACGTGAATAGAGATAACATATCCACAAAAAGCTTGAATTATAGACAACGCCAATAACGTTATCAAAATAGTTTGTGCCGACAATTTTGTCACCCGTTTGGCCATTTAATTTAACCATACTCTTTCGTTTGGCTACGTAATTTTTGGGGGCAAGTTTGAGATCGCGTACCAGGTTTATTTTCTCTAACACAGCCAGTATAAGGCCCGGTATATTGAAATTATAACGCCAATCGTGTTCCGAGGCGTTGGAATCGTATGGAAATCTATGTAATTAATTAATTATAAATTTGCAAGTAATTTATTACATGGTAATAATAACTAACGTGTGGTGAAAATTATGATACCCTTCGCCAAACGTGAAATAAATGGCAATACTGCTTTCTCGGGGCTCTATTATCTCATCGTAGGGTCTGTTTTATAATGGTTAAAGTAGAATTTGTTAACAAAAACTATGATGGTCTAATTTTTTTTATTGATACCAAACCTGATTCCATACATATGTGCCGCAGAATTGACCAAAAATGTCGAGTGAAGTGCATAGAGGTATCGGATTATGTTCGCTATGAACGCGTTGGCAAAGCTCTCGTCCCATAGTAGCACCGGTACGGCCACCGGTATTATTATGCCACACATTAGCGACTATTCAATTAAAACATATGATACTTAAAATTAAATTCATAAAATTATATTAACTGCATAATGATTACCAAAATGGCCATGTGCCTTTTCTGGAACATGACCACTGGGTCGGCGGTGAGATCGGTGCAGTCAATCTCGCGACGCTTTTCAATGAGCTCCGGGTGTTTTTTGACAAACAGCCACCCGATGTGCGCGAAAAACAGACCCCGATTAGAGTTGTGCGGATCGGCGTCCGTCTCACTGAACTTGTGGTGAATGCGGTGGTCGCGACTCCACACGTAAACACTCCGTTGCATTGCACTCGACTGTAATAACATGAGCGCCCACTTCACCGTCCAGTGGG